GACGGAGGCCTATGAGTTTGTCGCTGTTGGCCCCGGGGGGTCACTGTATGTGGTTGCTGGTGGGGATCTTCCGGTTCTCCCCTGTGGTCCGTTCTGGGGGGTGGGTGAGTGGTTCGTCCTGTGTGGGTGGCCCTGGGGGCTCCGCGGTCAGGGTCCCTCCTGGGGTCTTGGGCTCTGGTCCCCCCTTTTTCGTCTGCCTCTGGTCTTGGGGGTCGGGTCTCTGCTGCTTCACAGTTACTAATAAATGTTCTATTAGAGAAGCCTTATACACTTATGCATGCTCACAACCACACACAAATAGAAGCAGGGATGCTTATGTAGGCTTTATATGTAGATATATAGATATGTATGTGAGTGTATATTCATGTGTATGTATGTATGTATGTATATAGGCGTAGGTATGGGTATATATATTTATGGAAACTTACTGCAAAGCCATGAATAGTTTAAGTTCTTTATACATATGTATTTTGTTGCTGTGTTTTGTCATGTTCTTTGCAGGTGAACAGACAGTGGCCGGGTGTTTTGACGTGTGCTCTCTTTGTGTATATTTCTTATATTTTGGAGTCTTACTTTGTCTTTTCTTTCTTTCTATCCTATAAAAAAAAAAAAAAAAAAAAATTTGAACAGAATTAAAAACAACCTAATGACACGGGCCTCGACACAACGGATGGTACCCCCAGAAAAGATTAAAAATATTTTGACCGTAGAGACATAGTCTGTAATCAACATCACAGGAGTCTTCAAGCTTCTAATCAACCAGTCTGCCTTTTAAAACGGTCAAGAGTTTATTTAAATTTGACAAAATTGCATATTGACAAGCCATAAAGTTTCTTAGGACAGAATGGACAAAACTGGACATTTTCTTGCAACTTGTCCCATCAGCTCTGTGTCCACAGCCCCATGAAAAGAACACTGCGTCTGCAGAGAGACATGGAGACAGCTCAGTGATGTTCTGGGGCTGCTTTGTTGCATCTTCCATAGGAGAGGTTTAGGTTTGTTGTCATACGCAGATCAACACAAGATCAACAACCCATGAAATGCTCAGGACGAGAAGAACCGTCTCGAGGACGTTTTGAATCTGTGCCTCAAGACATTATAGAAATGCTCTACCCAGTGTCTGAAAGCTTGGTCTTGATTGCAGGATAATAAAAATCCAACTAAAAACATCCAAATAAAGCTATGAACAAAACATTGCACTGTTCTGAAGTGGCCTACTCTGATCTAAGTCCTGCTGACCGTCTGTGGAAGGAGCTGAAACATGAAGTCTGGAGAAGGAATCCTTCACAGCTGCTCATGAGGAGTGGGTTAAAATATCTGTGGACCCACGCCGAAGCCTCAGAGTTACAGAAAGTGACTTGACTGCAGTGATTGTCTCAGAAGGTTGTGCAACAAAATATTAACTTATCAGTACCATGTCTTTTTTTCTTCTTCTTATAATTCTGTAGGATCAAAATTCAAAAATGACAGATTTTTCATTTTTAGTTCTTTTTTTCCTTACTTTTTGTTGTTGTTGTTCTTGTTGTTGTTCTTGTATTTTTCTGTTTTTGGTGATTACACTGACCTTTGTGGGTTTTTACTTTTTTCAAATTATGCAAACTATAATCTGTCCACATTTAAAATTATTTTTAAAAACTTTCTCCCTATCAGTTTGCACAAATCTACAGTTTTTCCTTCAATGAAGTGAAATATAACGAAGATTTAACAAGGTTAAATCAGGTCATCTGGAGAGATTGTTCTTTGTTGAAATGTTTATCCAAAAGATTTCTTCAGTCTAATAATAAACAAATTAATTAATTTTTCATTCAACCTTGAAATAATTATTATAAATAATTATACAGTAAATACCAACAGTTGATGCTCAATAATCCATGTTACAAATCCAACAATGTTCAGTCAGGTCAACTGGATGTTTTTTTTTTGTTGAGATGTTTCATCCTTCATCCGAAGGACATCTTCAGTCTGAGAAGCCTCAAACAAACTGGAGTCCCACAAATACCACACTCCCATAGTGGGGGGAATAAAAACTTTTCTGGTGATAATATGGTTTCTGGGGCCCGCCCTCTTAGAGCTGTCATTTCTAACCCGGAGCCCGGCCCCGCCCAACCTGGATTCGGACTGGGCCGGGCCATAATAATGTGTGGGCCGGGTCGATGTCGGGCTTTTTATTGTGTCAGGAACGCACGTGGCCGAGGATCCAATATATGCAAACATGGCTTGCCCTAGTGTACCTGCCGCACGTGGCCATTTGACTGTGCTCTGACCGGCCGGTTGAAAGAGGTAAAAAGTTCAGTTAAGCTTCAGAAGGACTACTGCCAGAGATCATCACCCAAATGGACGTTCATTCAGTCGCTGCACTCAGTGGACGTGCGCGGCCCATGATCCAAACAGGTGAGATCACAAAATATCCGACGTGTCAGAGCAGGATGCAGGCAGAAGCAGGGGAAGCATTTAATGCGCTTTGAGGGCTCTTCAGCTCTGATCTTATGCCCCCTCAGTCGTGCGCGTCCACCAACCGCTAATAATAATCAGTGGTATAAGCAGTCAAAGCTTAATTAAATATGTCTGGGTTTTTTCCGTGTTTGGACCTGTAATTACTGTTAATTTTTCAGATCAGGTGGGGTTCGGAGATGATGGCTACGGGCTGGGGCCGGGTCAGTTTGAATTATTTGGACCCAAGTGCAACTCTACGTCCTTTCCTCTATCACTCCTCTGAGGCAGCCATGCCAAAATGGTTCAAAACATCAAAGTTCATGCTCAATAATCCATGTTACAAATCCAACAATGTTCAGTCAGGTCATCTGGATGGTTTTTTTTTTTTGTTGTTGTTGTTTTGTTTTTTCTGAGACATTTCATCCTTCATCCAAAGGACTTCTTCAGTCTGAGAAGCCACAAACAAACTGGAGTCCAACATGGTATTTGTTGGTGTTTTGAACCATTTTGGTATTGCTGCCTCAGATGAGTGATGCGGAGAGGGCGGGCCCCAGAAACCATTTTATCACCAGCAAACTGTTTTTTTTTCCCCACTATGGGAGTGTGGTATTTATGGGACTCCAGTTTGTTTGTGGCTTCGTGGACTGAAGAAGTCCTTTGGATGAAGGACGAAACGTCTCAGCCAAAAAAAGAAGAAAAAATAAAGGAAGAAACCGTCCAGATGACCTGACTGAGCATTGTTGGATATACAGTCAATAATAATAAAGATTTATTTCTCTGTAAACCTCAGACTGATCATTTAGAATTTAAAGATCAACCAGAAAGACGTCTGTGATCAAAATCACTGCTTTATCATGCAGACACATTTTTTAAAAAACTGATTCCAGAAACCCTTGTTCCTTTGACATCATGAGGCAATTCTCAGTTGCTTACTGTCCTCTAGTGGTGACACAAAGTGGTGGGGGTGGGGTGTTTAAAAGCAAAGGGGTGAAAGAAAGTGGCTTTTAAAAAAGAATGAAGGTCATGGAGGTGTATGGGTATTTTCATGTGGCTGCACTTTAGTTAGAGTCTGCAGGTTAATAGCTGAACTTGATAATCAGGGATTAGTGAAGGGTTAAGACTCACTACATTAGCTTGCAGAGGTCATACCGTACGGTTTATGAATGTGACATTTATTTATTACCTGCTCTTTCTGCTCCAGCTCCTCCATTTTTCACTTGTTCTTTCGTTCCTCTTTTTTGGTGGTGTTTTTTTTTTAAATATATTTTTTTGTCCATACCTCCCTTGTTTCTTGCCTCACACCCATCTGTCATCCACGTCCCTTCTTCCATTTGTTTATTACTTAGCTACTTAGCGTAATAGAAAGTAGACTGACTGTAAGCAGAATAATTACACAAGTTCTCCGCGCCGCTCGCATGTATGGTTTTCAGGAAACCGTTCAAGAAGATGTGCTGGTGTGTGTGTGTGTGTGTGTGTGTGTGGTGAGCCATTGGCTGAGCTGCTGTCTGCAGGGCACAGAGCCCAAGTTGTGATACAGAACAGTTTTCTTGGCCAGTGAAGTCGAGCAGGGCCCCAGCAACAGACAACAAAGAGACAAAAGGGAGGGGAAAAAAAATCAATTTCTTCGTTTTCTGCAAACAAAATGTCTCCCGGCAACAAAGTACTCCTTTTGTGATTAAGGCAGCTTTGTTTAGGCGAGTCATTAGAGAGTGCTTATCATTGGACTGAGTCTCGGTGTTATGGCTTGGATAATAGACCGTGGATCAGGAAGAGCAGTTTGGTTAGTAAGCAGCTTTTGCTCCTGACTTGACTATATATCTTCTATTTACAATTACACAGTGCTAATATAAAATTTAAAGTTTATAACTGTTGTGTCTTACCATACCATACCATTTTATTTATAGAGCACTTAAAACAGCGACAAGGCCAACCAAAGTGCTGTACAGATAGAACAACAGGCAACACACAAAGCAAAATACAAAATGAAGTAAATCAGAAATATAGACATAAAAACGATGCAGACAATGACGACTAACCAGTGTGGAGCATACAGGTTCAAAACACAGATCAACTGGTGTTGAAAGCTACCGAATAGTAGTGGGTTTTTAAACGGGACTTGAAAACCGAGAGGGAGGGGGCAAGTCTGACAAGCAGAGGTAACTCGTTCCAAAGTCTTGGTCCTGCTACAGAGAAGGCCCTGTCACCTCTGCGCTTAAGACGAGTTCCTGGAACTGTGAGGAGCAACTGGTCCGCTGACCTCAGGGAACGTGGTGGGACATACGGTTGTAGCAGATCAGAGATTGGGGGGGAAACTGTTCAGTGATTTGTAGACATACAGGAGTATTTTGAACTGGATTCGAAAGTGATCCGGTAACCAGTGCAGGGAGGCCAAAACTGGTGTAATGTGCTCTCTTTTGCCTGTACTGGTTAAAAATCGGGCTGCTGCATTCTGGACCAGTTGTAGTCGTGCAATGGAGGTTTGACTGACACCAAACAGGAGTCTTGTTTGTTCTTGCTGTGCTGTAATGTCTTGTATGATTTCATGGCCCCGCTCTCTGTGTGTTCAGGTATGAGCTGCCTCAGTACGGCAGTCGCAGGAAGCTGATCTCGCCCTCCGGCCTCTACGATGAATATGGAGAGGTGGTGGTCGACGACGACGGCAGCTACTACTACAGCCCACAGGAGTCGGATGGAGAGGTAAACCCAGATTACATGACGGCTCTGAATTCATTCAACCCTTATTCATACAGGTTAGTCTCATTGAGCCACGTGGACTCATTTACAAGAGAGACCTGTTTTAAATGAAGAACAGAAGAGGAACAAATCATAATAGACCCTTCATATAAAAAGCATATAAAATGAAAAGTATGTAGAGGAAACAACATAAAAATGAAACAAAAACAGCTACATTATAAAGTGGTGTTATGAATTAAAGGTAATTTTAGAGCATGAGTGCTATGAATCACAGCAACTTGCCAACACCTGTAAAATACTCCTGCTAAGTAAAGGGACAAAGTAACACCCAAATTTCATCTTTGATCTAGATATAATATCTCAACACAAATTAAATTGTATGCTTTACACTTGCAGCTGCTGGTTTATCAGTCAAAACACTTCTTTTTAAACATTATTCAGATCAGTCACCAATTTAGGCCTAAGAATATATAATTTAGCAGCTTTCAAAGACAAGGGAGGTGCTAATAATGTTCCTGCATTTTTTAATCAAATGTATTGACTAAAGTCACCAAAGTTCATGCGCAGTAATCCCAGTATAAAATCCAACAATATTCAGTCAGGTCATCGGGACGTTTTTTTTTTTTTTTTTTTGCTGAGACGTTTCGTCCTTCATCCAAAGGACTTCCTCAATCTGAGAAGCCACCAAACAAAACTGATTCCCACAAACAGCATACTGCATAGTGGGAAAAAAACAGTTTGCTGTTAAAATGGCCTCTGGGGCTCACCCTCTCCCTTGTCAACTCCTCTGAGACAGTCATGCCAAAGTGATTCAAAACACCAAAGTCCATGCGCAGTAATCCAGGTATAAAATCCAACAATGTTCAATCAGGTCATCTGAATGTTTTTTTTATTTTCTTTTTTTTGCTGACACGTTTTGTCCTTCATCCAAAGGACTTCCTCGGTCCGAGAAGCCACCAAACAAAACTGATTCCCACAAACTGCATACTCCATAGTAGAAAAAAAACTGTTTACAGGTGCTACGATGGCCTCTGGGGCACGCCCTTTACTTGACTTGGAAACGTCTCAGGAAAAAAAAAAAGAAACCATCCAGATGACCTGACTTAACATTGTTGGATATTGACTCAAGTGTTACAAATGAATCCAACGCACATAGGAAACATCTGCCCCTCCCACTGAAAACCAGTGATTTCACAAACAAAACAGCCTTGAAGTTCATGCAGGTGAATAGTGAGAACTTATAAAATTTGGGTGCAGTTTTCTTCAGTTGGCAGATTGTTTAGAATCAGATTGAAAATGGATTTAATTTGGCTTAGATTACTTTATGTGGTCATTGAATAAAAGCCACTGATCTGCAGCAGGTTAACATGAATTTAAAGTTGTAAATAAATATATGGTAACAAGCAGAAGATAACGGGTCCAGACCCACCGATCCCCCACAGGATTTCCACCCAAAGAAGTATGATCATTCTTCATGATCTCGCTTAATCCTGCTTTTGCTTTTCATGCATAAACTTTTCCCCAGATGTCTTGAATCCTCCATTCATCCATCCAATTTTTATTTATACAGGATAGACTCATTGAGACATGAGGACTCATTTACAAGAGAGACCTGTTCCAAATGGAAAATATAAAATACAGACAACAACGATAAACAATAATCAGAGTCAGAGTCAGAGTCAGAGTTTCTTTATTGTCATTCGCACCTCATGTGGTACATGTGGTGGAGCGAAATTATGTACACAGGGTCCCAGTTACATCCAACAACAATTTTTTTTTTTTTTTTTTTTTTATAATAACCATAAACTACAGTAAAAATGCAGTTGAAATAAATTGCAGTTAAAATAAAACAGAAGTTGTGTTATAATCCTTTATGTGGTGCACAGTAGGACAAAAACAAGCAAAGCTTTTCTATTTCTTTTAACTCGTCAAAGGGTTTCTCAAACATTTATTGGTCAAAATGATTTTTTTCCCATCTTTGCCCCTTGGAATAAATCTTTTGTAAAAGAAAAAAGAAAGCAGTTTTGCATCAAATCACATTATCACCTTTTTTTTTTTTTTTAATAGCTGGCTTTAATTGCCCATGCACCAATTTTTAGGATGTGTTATTGGCCTGAAATGTAGGAATACCTGCAAATTAATGAATGAAGACAAATTAATGGGATAAAACTTGAATTACCTTGGGGTCTTAATGTCTGTAAAAGTAAATTAAAGAATCACATCATCTTTATTTCACTTTTTTATTAGTATGTTCTCTGATTTGGCAGTACAGTTTGACCTGGGAAATTTACTTTGAAGGAACGGGGAGAACTGCTTTGATAGTAATGTTTTAAAGTACAAATTCTTCCATTCACCCCAACGGACCGGAGCCACACGGCCGGATTTTGTGCAAAAGCAGCGTCCAATGGACTCGACCTAAAATTCAGACCATAAGCTCATTCATAGAGCACTGAACTAATCTCTGCAAGTGTTTAAAAGAAACTCAGCTAACCAAACATATTTAGAGATAATGTTTTATAGCATTTTATTTCCCGTTGGCTGTTTCTTTGTCAGAGCAACAGCCTTTTTCGGTTGCTCGTTCAGAGAACAAGTCGAAAGTGAAAGGAAACTGAAACAAATAGACTTAAAGTCCATAATTCAATGTTGAGAGAAGGAAACGGATCAATTCAACATCAAATTGATAGTTTTGTTCTGTAAATTAGTTTCACAGTTTATTAGTACTTCCAATCTCAATATTGAACTGAAGATTTGATAAAACATTGATTTCAAACTCGGGCTGCTTTTAAAAATGGAGATTTTCTCACAGAAATATTAAAGATAGCAGATAGGATGTTATTATTTCTCTTTGTTCTTTTCAACACTGTTCATGTTTTTATGACTACCTGAGTGTTTTTTATGTTCAAGGAGCCTCTGAAGGCTCCTACAGTCCTGACAGTGATGCTTTTCAAAAATAAACCTCTTACATGTATTATCATGACAACAGGTGAGAAGACAGTTTCAAGGGAACAGATTAGATCACCAGCAGCACCACCCTCCTCCTGTTTTACCACCAGTGAAGGCCTCGGGACCCCCAGGAGCCGGGGCCGTCCAAAAACAAGAAGGCCCCGCGAGTAAAGTCAAAAGCTCCAGCGCAGCCGCCAAGCTGAAAGCTGCGATGAAAATGACGACCCTGCTGCTTTCCCCTGCGAGTAAAACACCCTCACTGCCTCCTGCCATCCACCCACCGTGGAGCAAAGCCAGAGTTGGACCGATGGAGGAGGAGGGGGGCAGGCTGCCAGGACGGGAAGTTAATGTGGGATTAGGAAAAGGTCAAGCAGTGAAAATGGAAAACAAAAAGGCAGAAGGTGACGTAACAGAAAGGAGGGAAAGAGAATTGAACATTCAGTTAGGAGACAACCGAGGCAGGATGAGAGAAGCAGCTGTAGAAGGAAGAGACAGCCGGCCAGGGCATGGGGGACAGTTTCCTGGCTTTCCATCCTCTGTCCGGTCCTTTAGCTCCAACGGCAGCTTGCTCATCGATGAGAGTTATTTCCAAACAGCCACTGAAGTAAGTAAACACCCACTGGTAAAACAAAACCGCAGCGAGTCCCCCAGTCTTATCTCGTTTTCCAGAAGGCTTCAGGGACCTGCCAGGGTGGGTGATGGACAGTGGGACAACGGGAGGAAGATGCACGACTCCATAGGAGATATGAGCGTTTCTGCATCGGTGTCTGCCAGGAGAGACACGGGGAGGAGATGGGATAACTGGGACAGCGTGACCGAGCAAAGCGATTCAGAAACAGGCAGCGGCAGCAAAGTGTCTCTGTCCGAATTCAGCCTCTCCGACCGAAGCAGCCTAACCTCATCGGTTACGGCAGAAACCGAAATCAGTGCGTCCGAATCAGGAACAGAGAGGGAAGACATGGAGGAGGAGGAAGAGGCGTCTGAGTCGGAGACAGAGTCAAGGTCAGGGAGCGAAGATGAGAAGACTGAGTCAAGCAGAAAGAGTTCAAGTGGTAGAAGTCATGAATCTAGAAGGAGGAGCGGGACTGGCGGTAAGAAGAGCTGGGGCAGCCGCCCCGGTAAACACAGGCGTGGCAGCTCTAGATATTCCAGCTCTACGGTGTCTAGTTCAAGGCCCAAAACTTCAAGATGCTCATGCGGAAGTCGCGAAGCGCCAGAGCAAGAGAGCGAAGAAAACAGCGACGTGGAGGAAGAGAGGAAGCGTGTCAAGCCAAGAAAGTCCTCCGTCGGTAGGCGAGCCCCCGGCCACGTCCAACCAATCATTGGCTCAGGCGTGATGGACGCCCCGGACGATTTATGGCCCATTATCGAGGAGGAGGAGAAAAGCAGCATCTACAGTGGGGAAGGGCGTGAAGATCAAGAAGAGGGGGGAGTTTGGGGAAAAGAGTCAGCTGCCTAAAACAGGGATGAGGCCTGAGCCCCCTCCTGAGATGAAAGTCTTTGCCTCTCAGTAAGCTCCTGGTTTGGGTGTGCAGTCATTACCTGAGTGGAATCTATTATCGTGTCTCGCGCCGTTTGCTGTGATTTATGCTCACGAGGGTTTTAATTGCCCGCACGTCCTCCACTGTCCTCAGAGTTATCCAGTTTCTGCTTTTTTCTTCATCGTTTTATCCTCCTCGTGCATTTAATCTCCCCTTTCCAATCACAGTGTCTCCCTCCGTTTCGTTCGCCTCTGGAAGTCGTCAGGCTTACATCTATAAATGCGATTAAATCTCTGCTGCTGCAGCTCAAACATTGTTGTTAACTTTCTGGAGCGCGGAGGGTTTGTTTGAGTTTCTCCTTCTTCGTCATCTCTTTCGGTGTGCGTCATTCTCCCAGGATCAGTCAGCTCTCCCTACATCTGTTATCAGCAGGGGGAGCGATGCTTCCACTGGAAAACGAATGAAAACATGCTCTTGTAGCATACGTATTAAGGTTACAAGGAAAAACAATGAGGGTTGCATTGTGTGAAAGAACAGAGGGATTAATTTTCACAACAGCTTTTTCTTCTTCTTCTGGGAATGTGCGTGTGATCAGCAGCGTTGACTCCAACCTTCAGCAGCAAAGAGGATAAAATGTTATCGTCTTCCAGGCAGCATATCTTCAAAAGCCTTCCCTCTGTGCTTTCCTATGTTCAAATATCCATCAACAGATAGTTCAAAGGCTGAGATCATTTGCTGGTGAAGATCACGACGTCAGCGCTGCTGCATTGACCTCACTTTGTGTTTGGGTTGAAGTTCTTTCTGCGATGTCTGACTTTTTTACAGGATAAATATGTAAAAAAAATAATAATAAGTGAAAGAAAATCATAGTTCCATCTTTTTACATTTTCTTTTTACACAGAAAATATTTAGTCACTGTATAGTAAAACACTGAAATATTATTTAATTAGTTAAGTCATAAAATAAGTACCGTATTTTTCGGACTATAAGGCGCACTTAAAATCCTGTAATTTTCTCAAAAATCGACAGTGAGCCTTTTAATCCGGTGCACCTTATGTATTAATTCTGGTTGTGCTCACTGACCTCGAAACGATTTTATGTGGTGCAACTGAACAATGTTAAGAGTTATTGTAAATGAGTTGAATAAAGTTATCTGACTGTTTAGTTTTGTTTAATGTGCCTTATGTATGAAAACTGACCCGTTCGTTGATATAGTGCCTTATAGTCCAAAAAATACAGTACATCGAACTTCTGATTTGTTTTATTACCACTAAAATATTAACAAACCTCACTATTGTTCCAATTAGCAAATGACCCTGTCATTTACTATTAGGGAAGCATGAGTGTTTTTGCCAGTATGTCAATGTTTTCCACTAATTTTGACAAATAGCTGGTGATTGACATTTTTATCAAACTTCAAATAGTAGAAATTTGTGATCTACTTTTGAAAACATAGCTCAGTATTAGGTCATTTGGACAATATATATATATATATATATATATATATATATATTTAAAACATGAAGTTATCTTGATCTTATCCCCCCCAAAAAAATTATGCAAAACTGTAGACGATCTTAAATCATCTCCCAGGTACTAATCTGGATTTAGTCACAAACTGGGAAATTTTTAATCTTATTGCAACATCTTGATGGATGTCAACGTTTTATTATTATTGTCAGTCAAGAAGAAAGACATGACAATATCATGCACTGTTCATACTTTCCTTTTTGTTCTGTAAAAGTCAGACATATAACCTTTGATGGATCAGTACTGATTCATATAGAAGATCCATTGATGGAGGTGCATTGTTCTCAACTCTTTACTGCTGTCACTTGTGTGAATAAGTTAAAACTCTTTAAAGACACTATCTCACAGGCGGTGACTGTTGGCGACTCAGTGGTGAATGGCATTATTGTGGGAGTCTCCAAAATGTCTCAAAATGTTTGAACTTGTTCTCTAATTCCTCATGCGAGGGACATAACACTATTGCTTGAATTTTGAAGAAATATTTTCTCAGAATAATTACAGAATGCAGGTATCTAAAATCCATCGAAATTTGGTCATGGGCTACTCCATTCATTCATTCATTCATTCATTCATCCATTCAGCCTTTATTTATACAGGTTAGTCTCACTGAGCTTCAAGGACCCATTTATAAGAGAGACCTGTTTTTAACGGAGTGATGACAACAGTAGACAATCATAAAATACAGCATATAAACCAACAAATAAATAGAAGAAAAATGATATTGAAAAGATGAAACAAAAACGGCTACATTGTGAAGCGATGTAGGAACTAAAAACAGCATCTCTGCGTTGATTTTTGCCATGAACTTAGCAGATGTTAGAGAGGTCAAGGTTGAGAGCTTCAGATCTTTTTGCAAGATATTCCAGGAAACGGGAGCGGAGTAGGAGAAGACCCTTTTGCCTAGTTCAGTTTTCACTGAGGAGCCACTGCAGGTAATAATGTCCTGAGAGCGCACGCTGTAGCTGCACTCACGCAGAGACATGTAGGAGGAGATGTATGAAGGTAGCAGACCAAGAAGTGATTTAAAGATGAAAATATATCAGTGAGAGAGTCTGCATGAAGTTAATGATGTCCAGTTAACCAGTGAATACAGGGTGCAGTGGTGGGTATGGGAGTTACAGCCAGTTATGAATCTTAGTGCACCATGATAGACGTGTCCAACATCTGCAGGGTGCTTGTAGGAGCGTTCATGTAAATAATGTCACTGTAATCAATGGAGGGAAGGAAAGTCACAGATCTAACAAGGTGTTTCCTAGCATTCAGAGTTAAACAGGATCTACTTCTGAAAAAGAAACCCAGTTTAACTTTCAGTTTGTTTGTTTTTTTTACCAAGTTTTCTACATGACTCCATACTCCAACCCATCTCAAGAGCAGGTTTAAAAAGCACAAAGATGATAAATAATCATTTAAAAACTGGTCTAAAAGTGCATGTCTTTTTAAAAAGTGTATTTCAGGAGATTTAATCACAAGTAGGGAACATTTGCCAAGATGGGTACAAAGCAAGATGAGGAGGGTACAGTGTGGATAGAGGTGGGCTACAAAACAATGTCTAAGGCCTGAAATACTTCTGCAAGTTGTCCACATGAAAAGAAGAAGTTTATAAAACTGGTCGAGCAAATTAGTTTGATCTCAAACACTAAAGGCAGAAAAGTGCCTGTTCTCTTGCAATTATGAGTCACCAACTAAAGTCCAACAGTCACAGCTCAGTGAGAGACCGCCTCAACTAATGGGACACTTCCAGACCTCTGGTTTAATGCCGTGTGATTTGTCCGTTTCCCCAGCAGGGTAACAGAAAGCGTCGTGTCAAACTGGTGGTGGACCGTGAGTACGAGACCAGCTCCACTGGTGAGGACAGCACGTCAGAAACCCAGCGCAGCCGCTTACCGTCCATGCACAACAACCACGCCAACGTTAACGGGAGCATTTACGTGTCCCAGAATGGCTCCATCATCCGCACCCGACGAACGGTAAACGCTTCAGGTCCTACACAGACCACCAGCGCCACGAACAACCTCAAACTCAGCTCACCAATCTTCAGCTCGCGGCTGACCAAGCACTTTAAAAAACTTGACAAAATGGCGGCCACGTTAGAGGAAAGGGCGCCGCTGAACACCCCCAGCACAACACCGGATGGTAGGTGCAACACCCTGCACACCTTCCAAAGCTTCGGGAAGGCCACCTCCACGTCGGCCATGTCCTCTTGTACAAACACTGACAACAATAAAATGCTGAATGTGTTAAACACTCGACAATCCAGCGCGTCTTTGGGGTCAAACAGCACCAGTAACACAGGCCCCGAAAGCGTAGCGTCTAAATCCAACATGCCATCCGTGGCGTGTGACCGCACAGAGCGGCCCGAGAGCACAGCGGGGAAAGAAGAGTCAAAAGACGACGAGGCAGAGTCGAAGATAGACGGCAACACTGACAGTGAAGTCATCACGAGGGAGCCGCTGGAGTGTCCGAGTGACAGAACGCAGTCGGACGAGGAGGAGCTGTGGATGGGCCCGTGGAACAGCCTTCACATACCCATGACCAAACTCTGACACTACTGCCACTGTGCTTGTTCCTTATTGCCAAGACCATTACATGATTTCAACATTCTGTCTATTAGCTGTAGAGGCAACCGGGGGGAATTCACATCATCCAAAACAGGTGTTTTTATTTAAATGAGAATACACGAGGAGCGTGTATCATGACAAATGCTTATTCAGCAGTTTAATCATCAAAACATGTTTTGTAACGTCTCAATATTCTTCTTTGCTAACTGATCTCAGAGCTGCAGCACCTTCAGAAAACTGGACCTACGGTGAGAGAAATGATTATATTTCTATTTTGACATGAGAAAACTTGATTCTTCTAAATGGCCCTTTAAGCGACTGGTGTCAGGATGGAGCCATGCTTGTTTCATTCAGTATTACGGCCACTGGTGCAGTTTTTCATGAACCTGCCTGATGCATTTCGTCGACACATGGCGTCTCGTATTGTTCACACTTGCCTTTTTATTCTTGTCAAGCTGCTTGGCAGACCCGATCCAAATAAAGTTTCATCTATTGAACATAGGAGTTTGGTGTGAAGCTGTTTCTTCTGCAGACGCAGCCAGTGCAATAATTAAAATCCTTACTTCTGACAAACTTTTTTTTATTTATTAATTCATTCAACCTTTATTTAAACAGATAAGTCACACTGAGCCTCGAAGACTCATTTACAAGTGAGACCTGTTTGGACAGACAATAAAAAGTGGTGAAAATAACACAGGGTTTGGAGACAACAACAAAAATCCTTACAAGGTGACGCAAGGGCAGTGACAACACACAGGCACTGCAGAGTTCAGATAACATCGCTCAGTTCAAATAGTTCCCCCTGGAGAGATCCGTACACTCTTGTGGGGTGACGTAGATGGCCAAGGATGATGTCAGAATTGAATCCAAAGAGTCTGGACCTCTCTGATTGGTCCATAGACTTCCTCGGTGGGAGCGGGGAGGGGCAGAGCATCAAAGGTTTACAAAACTTCCAGGCAAATGGCCTGTCAAGGCCAGTCAGGGAGCCAAATTCAGATAAACATGATTGTTTTGGGGACAGGCAGAACTTAATGACATCTACCTTGAGTCTGTGTCAGTCCACTCTGTTCCTAAATGTCCAAATTCAGCCGCAGCACTCGGCGGACGCGCGTGGCCGACGGTAGGTGAGATCACAAAATATCTGACATGTCAGAGCAGGATGCAGGCAGAAGCAGGGGAAGCATTTAATGCGCTTTAATGGCTCCTCAGCTCTGATCTTCTGCCCCCTCAGCCTTGCACATCTGCCACCCGTTAATAATAGTCGGTGGTATAAGCAGTCAAAGCTTAATTAAAAATGTTTGGGGGGGGGGTCAGACCTGTAATTACTGTTAATTCGTCGGATCGGGTGGAGTTCGGAGATGATGGCTACGGGCTGGGTCGGTTTGGATTGTATGGACCTGAGTGCAACTCTACTTCTGTGTCTAACTGTCCCCCTCGTACAATGCTGTTATTGCTAGTATCACTCAGACCTCTGTGAATAGCAAGCAGCCATCAGGGCACTAACGAGCCATCGTTAGGCTGATTGGTCCTCCTTTATCATGTGAACAGCTAGTTTTGAATATCAACAACAAACTGGTTGATCCACTATGAGAAGGTGTTATTTATAATACTGAGTTTAGTGCATCTCCTCAGATTGAAGAAGTCCTACAAACTTAGTATGCATTAAAACAAAGAAGCATGTCTAAAAAATAATAATAAACTTCTTAACCCGTTATAATTCACAACAATCAAAAGAGATAATTTTAAGCTTAATCATATTCTCAGGAAGACAGATTTCCTTTTAATTTCCTCTGGGATCCACTTAAGAGAACTTCATTAAGATAAAGGTGTCTGAACTTTTAATTCTAACACACATTTCCATGAATTGTTTCAGCTGAAGTGTAGAAGAGGAAGGATCATTAACCCGCAGAAGTACCTGCTCTTAAAGCTGATCATTTAATTTGATGACTGAAAAATTTCACATTAAGGGACTCAACAGAGTGTGCTGGTGTAATATTTGAAATGGACTGCTCCTTATTAAGCAGAATTGGCGAACTGAGCCATAGTAATATTTTAAACAGCTTCTGGAAGGCCGGGCACGTCGGAAGGACTGCTATTGATTCAAGCAAATGAGCTGATTATGTCACTGATTCATGTGTTCACCTCGGTGAACTGAGAAACTGCAGGCGAAGCCAGCCTCAGCAAACATTTGAATTGGTTGTCGTAGTATCAGAAAACAATAAATTTGTCCTCATTTGATTCGTTACTTTTGTCTTGACAAATGTGTGAAGTTTTGCTCAATTACATAAAATAGTGCCATGACACACAGGCATGAGGTTAAAGCTTCATTTTTATAACAAATATAAGGTGGATCCTTCACATAATCATGAAGTATACTGCTTACCATGTGTGTAAAAAATGTCTGTTTATTTGTAGTTTTTCTACAAAGTAATCATCTTGCTGCTGGACGTTTTTTTAAAGGGATAGTTCAGACAACTTTGGAGTGATGTTCTATCAAATATTTAAATAGTTCCATCAGCAGTGTTCCGCTTATGAAACAACTCTCAAAAATGACATACTGGCGTGAAAGAACGTAACATTAACCCCTTTTGAATCTGCAACACTTGTGCGTGGTTTTATTTCTTGCCGTTTTCTTAAATGTACATGTGTGGAGCATAAATAGGCTGATGGTGCCGAGGCTGCTGAACATATCCGAATGCCTGATCAGCTCATCTAGACAGTCAAAAGGTTACTCAACTCTAGAGCTGTCATTTTCTAACACGGCCCCGTCTGACCCAGATTTGGGCCGAGCCATAATAATGTGCTTAATGTGGCCAGGTCATTGTCAGGCTTTTTATTGCATCAGAAACTCGTGCGGTCGACAATCCAATATATGCAAACATGGCTTGCCATACAACACCTGCCATAAACGGCCGTTTGACCGTGCGCTGACTGGCCGGTTGAAAGAGGTAAAAAGTTCAGTTAAGCTTCAGATGGACTACTGCCAGAGATCCATCACCCAAATGGATGTTCATTCAGTCGCTGCACTCAGCAGACATGCGCAGCCGAGACCCAAACAGGTGAGATCACAAAATATCCGACATGTCAGAGCAGGATGCAGGCAGAAGCAGGGCAAGCATTTAACGCGCTTTGAGGGCTCTTCAGCTCTGATCTTCTGCCCCCTCAGTCACGCGCATCCACCAACCGTTAATAATAGTCGGTGGTATAAGCAGTCAAAGCTTAATTAAAAATGTTGGATTTTTTTCAGGGTTCGGACCTGTAATTACTGTTAATTCGTCAGATCAGGTGGGGTTCGGAGATGATGACTACGGGTTGGGGCCAGGTCACTTCAGATTATTTGGATCCAAGTGCAACTCTACTCAACTCCCAGCAGACTGATGCATGAAGAAAAAGTTGCTTCAACTTGAAAAATGTTTTTTTTTTTTTTTAATCAGGCCCTTGTTTGGCTAGCTTTGAGCCTAACCTGAAAAAAAGACTTTTGCATCTTTTCCAACTAATGACAAAGCACTGAATTTTGATAATTTTAACTAAATGTGACTTTAAAGTCGACTGGACTAGAGTAGTTCCTTGTTTATCACGGGGGATCCGTACCCAAAGCCCTGCGATAAGTGAAAAACTGTGAAGTTGTAGTAGTAAGTAGTAGTTGTGTGTTTGTGTGTGTATATATATATATATATATATATATATATATATATATATATACATACATGTATGTATGTATGTGAGGAAGCTTCTCCTGCACCTGTGGTCTGCACACAGGTGCAGCAGGTGTTAAATAATTTATTTTAATTTTTTTTTAATCCATGCCGATCGTGCAGCTCATTCATCAATCAGCCAAGTCCAATCTTATTTTGAAAAACCGCGATAGAGCAAGTCCGCAAAAAACGAATCACGAAGTAGCGAGGGACTACTGTATCCCTTTAACGATGACAGCAACATTTTACTAATCCTGATCAGCAGGTGCCACGTGCAGCAGACACTAGAAAGATGAACTCAAACAGCTGCTGCCTGCAGAGTAATTTCACATTTATTCTACTACTTAAACGATAAACAAGTAAAATGAACATTAGTATTACATAACGTGTAGGAAGTATAAAAAAATCATGCTTCAGTTGATGATTTGAATATTTTGATGTTTATGAATGTAAAAATCATAAGAGCATGTCACTTTATATTATCTTGTGAAAATATCACTATTTTAAGTTTAATCTGTCAAAGAATTGCACTGAAGAAAAAAATCCTTAATTGCTTATTAAATTTAGTGTAGCTAAAATGTAAATTAGATTTTAAAAAACTTGACAAGAGAGTAACTGAAAGTGTGGAGCTCACACAAACAGAGCCCGACTGTTTTAATTATTTGCTTTTTATTAAGATCCTGCTACATTTATCAACCTTTTTAAAATTCAAGTAAATAAACAGTCATGACTAAGAGACCTGCATGTTAACAGGTCTTATTAAACGGTTCTAAAAATAAAACATAGCACGTCATATTCAGTGGATACGATGAATACATGAAAAAGTAAATAGTCCTTTATTTCCACCTAAATGGAAACGTACAATAAAAGATGCTACGTAACTACAGGATAACATGTCACAAGTATGAATACTACTCTGATTAACTTTTTTTTTTTTTTTTTACATGTCTAAGTAAAGTCAGGGACAGAATCGATCCTTTCTCTTACTGAAATAAATAAAAAAATACAACATACAGGATTTCTTACAGAAACCACATTAAGTGCCAACCAGGGCTTCACATTAAAAATAAATAACATCAAACACAGTCTCAGGTTCTAAACAATGTTACATTCAGAAATGAGAAATGAGGTCTACGTGTTCAAAAGAAGAGAAACAAAACGTCACGTGATGAAGATTAGTTGCAGATTTACAGCTGAACACAGTTTTTACATACAGTACGGATTTCACACAGTTTTTAACACAGAGTTCACTTTTATCCAGGCAGGCGAGCTGCGGGTAATGGCCGTTTGACGGAGAATTGATTTTTGACTCGACATAACGGCCGTTCTCTGCGTTTAAATTATAATCAGTAATAATAACCGAAGCCTGACAGGATAAAAGGATTACAGCTTCATTATCTTTGACATGAAGTTATGGCTTCTGGGATCAGTGTCTCTTCTACCTTCATTACAAAAAGCCTCCGGGAGCAGCTGCCAGATGATCATCTGCGCACGTGAATGAAATCGATTCGGACAAATTAAAACGATGACTCAAGGAAGAGTTTACAAAACAAGACGCACAACATGTCGGTAATTTGGAGCGTAGAAATAAAAATAGGTGAAATGTCATAATTTTAATATTGCACTTAATTTTTTTTTCTTCTGTGCAGCGTGGCCACACTTACAAACATGTGAGCAAATATTTGAATGCGGGATTTTCACTTGACATGTCTGATGCTGGAATGTCAATTAATTATCTACTTTTTATTATACACTCAATACAAAGGAATTTCTAAAAGAACACGCACAAGAAATTGTGACTTAATAAATAAAAGTTGGAAGAGCAAATGATACCACTTTATAATAGTTTACAGATGTTACTAAGTCCTCTATAAACACTTTATAAATCATTAATAATTGTTTATTATGCATTAATTAAGGGTGACTGAGACAAAACTGTCTAGTTTCATGCCAAATAGTGAGCCAAATCTGTTCACCTATATATTTCATCTAGAATTGTTATATTAAACATTTCAGACTGTTACTACCTTGTAAGCATAATAAGAATTCGTAAACCATTTTTTTTAGGATATAATATTAGTAGTAGATACTTAAAATGCAGTGATAAAGTACAATATTATGGTGGCAGATGTAGCTCACAATTTGGCAAAAAACTGGTCAGTTTTGTCTCCATCACCCCTAATTAATGTATAAACAATTATTAATGATTTATAACATGTTTATAGAGGAACTAATAACATATCTATATACTAATTATTAGCCATCTATAAGGGGAGCTTTATTGTAAAGCGGTACAGATAAGTGTTTTATACTGAAATCAGGAAGCTGTCACTGATCACATTTTGTGTCAGGACTGCTTCTCCAGACTGTGACCAAAAGTGAATTTATTAGATCAGAAGAATTCAAGGAAACAAATATATA